AAAAAAAAAAAAAAAGTATAGCGATTATTTATTATTAAACAAATGTTTAGGGTGGGAAGGAGGGATCGAGACAGATTAAGGTGTAGACAAAGACTGATTTGTGGAAGGATTGCTTGGCTCGATTATCGTTTTTCGATCGATTGGTAGCTTATAAACGTCGATCTAGCGTTGTTTAAACTAATAATACTTGGTTTAAACTGAATACAAATGATGGAATTAAAGTTGGAGAAGATCTTCTGTCTGTGTTTTTCATTTGAGCATACAGTGCTCTAGGGAATTCAGATCGTGTCCGATCAGACACGATACTGCTATCGATCGAATTAAATGTCAACTGAAGGCCCGATACCGTTTATACTAGCATCGATCGAACGACCTTCGAATCAAGTCAACGAATAGAAAAACTTCTAAGAAGTGAAAAGTGATTTTTGCTAAAAAAAAAAATCTTCGGTCCATGTTTGATCTTGTACGGACTTGTACTACTTTCCGATCGGGTTGGTATCTCGATCGAGTTGCCGAGCGAAGCAGAAAATTTTCTAGGGAAAACAGATGGAAAGAAATATAAGAAAGAGAAGTCTCTTCTGTCGCGGAGGTGACTTCCTCTGGGAAGTTTGGCCTGCGTCTGATCACGCACGGACTAGAACTACTACTGCTGTGTCAGTCGTGCACAGGCCTAACGTTCACGCATCGACCAAGTATCGGAACACCGAGCTTCTTCCTCTTTCTAATTACCTCGTTAATTACTAGACATTATCCACTTCGGCGATTCTACGTTAGCGAGCGAGTTTCATGCTTGTTTCACCGTAAGAGAAACCGAGGTTAACCTTTATGTATGTCGTTGATCATTTTGATTGACGCGAACGACACGAACATTGTTCATTGTTAAATCACGATTGGTGCTTTGATCGCAGCATATCGAGACTAGAATCAAGAAGACAATTTCGGGGAGGATCGGGAGGGAGGGAGGGGGGGGGAGATGATAGAAATCAAAAGGTTTCTTTTCGAGCTTTTACGTGGGTGACACACAGTCGTGGAGAAATATTTTCTTTCGTAATGTTCGATCTTTGCAATAAAGAGCATCTTTGGATCAATTATCGGGGCCCTGGCGAAATTCTTTCGCGATGAATTAATTTCGCGGGGTACCGTCGCCGCGAAGGATACCGTGTAATCACTGTTAACCGTCGATCGATCGCATATCGATACATCGATCGTATCATTCGTACTCAGCCGGTCTATCGATTCAACGATCGATCGACCATGTTAGAAACGTTGCGCCAGCAGATCACTTAACCTCTTAAAGAGTAGTATCTACAATCGACTAACGCTCTCGAATCGAATTAAATCGATGATTTGTTTGTCGAGCGTTTCGCGAAATATACTTTCCGATGGGGCCGAGCATGGTTTTATTTACAATTTGTCTAACTGCGAAACGCAAATGAAATCTAAACCTATAATACGTATAATCTGTATTTAATTATCGTCATTTATCATATTGCTGTGTACTTATCGCATGATTATTACTTACACGTATTATTTATACAACTACAGGTAGGAATTCCCATTGAGATATTATGTGGAGATATTAGATATATCTATATATACATTATATTATATTATATTATATTATATTATATTACATTATATTATATTGTATTTACATTATATTATATTATACACATATATTTCTCACGTGGAAATTTTTCAGGCATCTCAAAGTAACACCGCAACGGCTATTGTTGTGCAACAAGTATATATGGGCGTGCTTTTTAAGAGGTTAATCGGGATACCGATTTAATATGTAGTACAGAGCAGAAAGAAAAGCTTCCTCTCTCACATAACACATATACGCATATAAACATACACATACGTACACATACACATGCATACGCGAATCCGTCTTAATAGTATCAAAGTAAAACCTCGAATTGTAGTTAAAACAAAAAAAAAAAAAAAATTAGCATAATATTATGATAATTTCTTTGTGACGTTGTGAGTATTATAATTACATTTATTTAAATGTTCAATACATGTTTAAAAGTCAATGTTGCGTAAGTAGTTTGATCGTATGTAATTTTTCTATTTACTTATGTATCGTGACTATGTGACCATATCGATAGTTTTCATTGCGTACGTGTAATCATGATTTGTCAAATATGCAGTCAAAATTCGAGGTTTATTCGATCAAAAAATGTAACCGCGGTCGAGCGGAGCAAATTGAGACACACATCTTTCATCGCAGAACACATACGTATACGTATTTTTGCATGCGGACGGTCCGCATAAGGGAACAGAATTCATTTCTCGAGGAAACAACGATGGGATGTTCGTTTCTGTGGGGTTCCGTCGAGCATTCTTCGTCGTCGCCTCAACGTCATTTTAGGGCAACGAACTAGAAATGTGTTGAATATTTACACGAATTTACAAGATTCTTGCTAATGTACTTTTTCTATACCACACACGAGGCAAACTCCGGTGCACAAGTAGGTGCACGCTACATATACATAAACAACACACGAGGCATACACACATACAAAGATACTCCTGTATCTTTAACACCTAAGAAAACAGAGGAACAGGGAAGATTAATACATTGGACGTACTACAACTCCGCGTACAATCATAGCACACAAGACACATGATTACATGCACCCACACGTACAAGAAAAAGAAACCATTCACGCACACTGTGGCACATAACAATGACACGAAGAAATGACTTAAGAAATAGAACAGACAGAAACATTTTCGAGAACACGTGCGCGCCATCACAATTGTTGATATAAATTGCGATCCATGATTATTACTATTTACGATATAATTATTATCTTGCATTGTCTAGTCATACGTTATTATTGTATAACTAACGATATTAATTATTAA